CCAGCACCTTTCACCATTATACCAAACTGGCTCTCCATCCATAACTTAGCCCAGGGGTTTCCAAACTTGACAACTTTAAGACTTGTGGACTTCAACTCTCAGAATTCCCCAGCCAGCCTTGGAGGGCTCCAACTTGGGCCACTTTTAAGACTTGTGGACTTCAACTCCCAGAATTCCCCAGCCAGCCACAAGGGAATTCTGGGAATTGAAGTCCACAAGTCTTAAAGTGGCCAAGTTTGGAGACCCCTAACTTGGGCCATAATTAATGTTAGCTGCAGGAGAGGGATTTCCCCCTTTCTGAGGCACTGCCAGGTAATCACAGCCAACGGATTGGAGAACAAGCTGGCTCTCTGCTGGTTTTCCTGGTTACCCAGATTTTGGTTACCCTGTTCTAGAAAGGACTTTTCTGCGTTAAATGTGAGTTAAGGCTGTTCCTAGCATCTGCCAGAAGGCAGGGAAGGAGCAAATGCAAAGAGCCGGCCAAGAAGAGGAAGACGAATTATTAAACACATCAATCTGTTCCACCCACCAGGATATTAATAGCTGGGGAAGGAATTACATGGTGACAGTCCTGCCTCTTTGTGCGCATTACATTTCTATCGTGTCAGATTTGAAAATGAATTCTCTTGAGTTAAGTCCAGTTCAACTGCACTCAACGTAGGTTTCAGGGCAGTCAGAGGAGGCTGGTAAGAACACACATCTGAACCACAGAAATTGAGACAAAACATGGTTGGTCTTTAGGCTCCAACAGAAGCTCTGACTAGTTAATTTATTAAGGAATCAAACTTGGCTTAATTTTCTCCTAGAAAAACCCTAAGCATCAGGGGACACCAAAAAGTGGACTTTAAATCTGGCCATTTAGCCTGATGCAAAAGAATCCTCACTGAGGTTTTAACAGAATAAGAGTCGGAAGGGAGGTCTTCTAGTCCAGCTCAGGAAGTTTTGATTCCTTCTGCATCTGGGCAACTAGCCTCCCATTCCCTACCCTGAAGACTTATAAATTAACCCATTGTAGCAGGAGTCATAGATTCTTTTTAGCAAACAATGAAGAGTTAGGAATTGCTTTTTTTCCTTGCCTGCTCCTGTGTGTGGCTCCCTCCAGATGGGGGGGATGCCCTGTTCTGCCACAAGGGGGCGCTCACACACTGTGACCAAGCACAGCCGTCACCTGGTTGATCCAGGACTTTTTGTTGTTGTTAGTTGCGAAGTCGCGTCTGACCCATTGCGACCCCATGGACAACGTTCCTCCAGGCCACTGGTGGGATTCAAAATTTACTACCGGTTCTGTGGGAGTGGCTTGGTGGGCGTGGCAGGGGAAGGATACTGTAAAATCTCCATGTCCTTCTAATCAGCTGGGACTCGGGAGGCAGAGAATAGATGGGGGCAGCGCCAGCCAGAGGTGGTATTTACCGGTTCTATAAACTACTCGAAATTTCCCCTGCCGGTTCTCCAGAATTGGTCAGAACCTGCTGAATTCCACCTCCGGCTCCAGGCTTTCCTGTTCTCTACCATCCTCTGGAGTTCATTCAAGCTTACGTTGGTTCCTCAGACAGCCATTTTGCTTTCTTGCATTTCTTTGTCTTTGGGGTGGCTTTAGTTGCTAGGACTTTTAAGCAACCCCAACTAATAGCCATCAGCCATCAGGAGCCACCTGCGGTCACACCTTCAGCTACAATAGGCCAGGTGGCAGAGGAGGAGGAAGGACAGTTCCTCTTGCAGTCTGTGAGCCTGTCCCGTTGGAATGCCAAGGGCTCTAAGGCTCCTCCTCTCGGTGTTCACATTTTCATTTTAAGCAGTTTAATTCATCAGCAAGACAAACGGAAGCCAGATAAGCCGCTCTATCCACCTCTATCCTTAACGTGAAACTGCTTTGCTTTCCAGTCACTTGACAAGCCCTTATTTGATAAAACGATGGAACTTTGGAATGCGCCAGGTTAACCATTGCCCGGTTGAGCTTCCTCCACAGAACTTGAATTGAACAGAGTCTAGGTCCGTAGAATGTGAGGGTTGGAAAAGGGGCTTTGGAGATCACTTAGATTAACCCCCTTGTCTGGCGTGGGAATGCCGAGGGATCTGACTTGGAGTCCTTGCTGCTACATTTGGGATGGTGATACCTCAAACGCCCTTGGATGTTGGTGGCAGAGCTCCATTTTCTAACAAACCCAACAAAGGTCAGAGACCAGAAGGGGATGAGAAAAAGTTGTAAAACTCCAGCTAAGAAGGCAGAACTGGGGAAAAAAAGAGGTTGAAAGAGGGAAGAATGGGAGGTTCAGACTCAGTTAATCACTTCTGAAATTCCAACAGCAGAGTCATCAAAGGTTCCAATGAATTGTTGCCACTCAGCAACAGGAAGTGCTTAGCCGGCATAATTCAGAGAAGGGACGCCAATCTTAACCAGAATAAAGCTAATAAACCACAACAAAGACCCACCAAATGAAAAACGGTGAGCTCCTGAAAAGCAGCCGAGACATAGGGCAGAGCCCCAATGTTCTCCACATGGTACTTTTCCAGATTGATTGCCAGAAAAGAAGAAACTCTTAATTCTCTCTCCTTCCCGTCTTCCCAATGTAAAAACTGGGATAATTTCAAAAGCCAACAATAAGGCTGAAGTTACCACTACTGAAAATAAAATTTGCTAGATAAAAGAAAACCAGGAATGCTTCTTGGATGAGAAATGAAACATCTTCAAAAAAAATAATAAAACAAAACGAACTACACTAGTCTTCTGAAAAAGAACCTTTGATGATAACCAACTCAAAAATCTTTGTCTTACCCCGAGCGGCAGGTGACATGCAAGCAGGCCTTCATTCCTTTCACAAAGCCTTCAAATATGAATAGCAATAGACTTATATACCGCTTCACGGTGCTTTACAGGCCTCTCTAAGTGGTTTACAGAATCAGCCTCTTGCCCTCAACGATCTGGGTCCTCATTTTACCAACCTTGGAAGGATGAGTCAACCTTGAGCCTGGTGACATTCGAACTCCTGGCAGCCATCAGTCAGCAGAATTAGCTTGCGGTACTGCACTCTAACCACTGCGCCTCCGTGGCTCTCAAATCATAATACCATCCCAAAATTTTATAGCTTCTGTTTCTTACGGCCTTTCTGTCTCCAACAGGTTATTCTCAATGTGCACTGAACTGCTTTTTCCCCTGTAAATCTGGTTATTCTGATGAGTCAGTAAACCTAACAAACAGGAAGATGTGATGAGGGTTCAGATAAACTCTTCTGAAGATATAATCAAAAGTGTGATGAGAAAAGATGAAACAAAGATATTAGGGCCTCTGTTTTTTAAAAGCCCCAAAGGACAGAGAGAAGGAGTCATTCAGCTCCCATGGGATATATAAAACATCTGTAAGCAAGCAGGAGAAGCTCAGATATGCAAGCAGAGGCAGAGCAAAAGAGAGAGACAGAAATGCTCAAACAACGAACAAGAGATGACAAGGAGGAACTTCCGAAGAAGCCCAGCGAAGGTAGGAGGTCAATCCGTTTCTTCTGTCGGAGGCAACAGACTTTTTCACCAATGCTGCCTGTCCGTAACCTTCCGTGAAACACCCAAGTCTCCCTTCTTTCTCCTGATGCACCGAAGCTAAATCTCTCTTCTTCTTTTTTAAAGAGGGGAAAGAATGTTGCTATCCAGAATGTTGCTATCCAACGCCCTTGGATGCCATGAAAGGTAAGAAGGGATGATATCCTCCCGTTCTGGAGAGCAGGCCAGGGAAGAAGACGTTGAGTGCAGCCGCAGGGATGAGGGGNGAAGGAGGCCCAATCTGTGGGATCTTATTGGCCGCTGGGAGGTATGTGGCAGTAGGCCTGGTGTGGGAATGCAGGTGGATCAGACTGGAAGTCCTTGGTCCCTTATTCGGGAAGGTGCTACGGCGAGGTCTCACGAATGTCGGTGGGCAGAGCTCCATTTTCTATCAAAACCCAACAAAGGTGATAGGCGGGAGGACAGAAGGGCGAAACCTCTATAAAGAGCAGGAGGAGGCAAGAAAGTTGAAAAAGTTGTAAAACTCTAGCTGAAAGAGACTCCAGCTCTCAGAGACATCAAAGAACATTAAGTGGCTAGCACTCAGCATCAGGAAGAGCTTAGCAGGCATAATTCAGATGAATTCTACCACAGTGGTAAGATTAATGTTACTACTTATGAGAATAAAAATTGCCTGAGCTTGGGCACACTCTGTAATGTTTGGTTGGACCCACTTTTTATACCATATTGGAATTTGGAGGAGACATTTCCTTGGAATTTGGAGAGTTCATTTTAGTTAATTCTATATATTTGCTTCACCACTAATGTGCGAGCAGGCCTCCATTTCATTGAGAAAGCCCTCAAACACAAAACCATCTCCACGTTTCGTGACTTCTGTTTCTTGCAGTATTCCCCATAGCTATTCTCAGCATGTGCTGCGCGGCTTTTGCCCCGTGAGCATGGTTATTAGAGTCAGCAAAACTACAAAACCAGAAGAAGTGATGGGGCTTCAGATAAACCGTTCTGAGGAGGCAATCAAAAGCGTGTGAGGAGAACAGAGATGAAACAGACACATTAGTGCCTTTGTTTCTGAACAGCCCCAAAGGGTGTGGAATCAGCTGGCCGGGCTTCTCTGATATGAGATGAAGGGAGGGGACCTTTGAGCTTCAGGGATCAGCCCTTTTCTTAATGAATTCCTTCAGCGTGCACCCTCTGGGGATGGAACAGGATTTGGTCAGCTTTCATGGGTTATATAAACTGGATGCAAGGAAGCTGGACAACCTCAGATCTTCGAGCCGAGGCAGAGCAAAAGAGAGAGAACAAAATGCTCAAGCAACGGGCCAGAGATGCGGAGAAGAAACCTTCAAAGATGCCAAGCAAAGGTTGGAAGTCAATCCATCCCCAAAGACTTATTTCCCAACTCCACCTGTCCGCAACCTTCCTTAGAGCACCCACGTCTCCTTGGTGATGCCAAGGAGCTAAATCTTTTTCTCTTTTTTAAAGCGATAGAAGATTGTTGCTATCCAGGCCCTGGTTATCCAACGCCCTTGGACGCCATGAGAGGTAAGAAGGGGTGAGCCTCTCCTTTTCTAGAGAGCAGAGCCGGGAAATGGATGTTGAGCCCAGGCAGAGCTGCAGAGATGAGGTGGGAGCTCACGCTTCATAGTATTAAGCCGCCTCCTCTGAAGCATGGCATGCGGAACAAGTTTTAACAAAGTAGTTGAGCCATTTGGCCTAGTACGTCGACTCTGATATCAAGACCCTTGACCAATGATTCAATCCATAGTGCAAGTTAATCCAGTAATCAACTTTAAGAGGATGGGCGAATGTACTAAGTCTAGCAAGTTGTAGCTCAGACAAAACCATTTTACAGTTCAGGCCCAGGATCCTAAAATGTGAATTGTTTTCCTCCAGGTCCCCGAGAGAGGCTGATATATGTGACTTGCATCCTGACTGGAACAGGGACCCAGATGCCGGATTATCTTGCCACAGTGGATGTTGACCCTGAATCTCCCACTTTTTGCCAAGTATGGGGTTACTTATTCCTTCGGGAAGATGGGTATGCTTGCTCGGTTTCCTTTTCCTTGGGCCAGGTTTAATACCTTGCGTTCCAACTCTGGGCCGGTGGAAGATGGGGTGGAAGATAAAACATTGCTTTCGTGCTCCAAAGAGATATAAAACCTGAAGGATGTTTCAGAAGCACAGGGAGAGGAGCTGAACTCAGAGGCAGCTTTCACTCCATCTTAGCAACCTAGGAAATCGCTTAAGGACTGAAACCGGAGGGGTTGGAATTGAAGTAATTTAGGGAAATAGCTACTTAATAGTTCACGTAATGACCGCTTCCCTCCCTGAGGGAAGCGGGTTTGACGTCGCAATTGTTGCTGCAATTGGAGGACAATCTGCATTATTTCCAACATGTTCAGATATCTTTTCAACTCCTAAGATACTTTTTACTAATGCCTAGAATAATAAAATCAAGCTGGAAATAATTAAGTTAAATCAAATTAAGGGAATCCTTTGTTCTAAGCCCAACAAATCTCAGCAGCTCCCAACGTGTTTCTAGTCATTCTATTCCTCGGTGTCTAAGGAGTATCGTCAGGAAGATTTGCCATTTTCACATTTTTGTGTCAGCAGAGTCATGGTCAGTTACGCCTATGCACAGGCACCTTAACTAGGCGCAGCTGAGGCTGGAACTATGAGAGCTGTGGGAAGCCTAAGAGCTGGAACCACAACTCCTATGCCATCACGCACTGGGCGTGCTCACAATCCACAAAAGAAGCAGGCGATGCTCAGGCGCCAGCTCTTGCATTCACAGATGCGATGACTTCGGCTCCTTGCCTCAGCATGCCTGTGGCTCCCGATGCCAAGGGTTGGCATGGTAGAGCACTGTTGCGCTGAGGGTGCATAAAAAATTGGGAAGGGGAGGAAAATTCTGTATGTTTCAGAAGACGCCCACCTGTTGGTGAGGTTCTACTTGCTGGTTGTAAGTGGGAGAGATGTGCCAATCCATAACCACGGGGCTCTCCTGCCAAGCCGAACAGGCTTTTCTAACAAAATTCCATTCCACGAGTGATGTTCCACCTCCAAAGACATGTGCAAATCCCAAACTCTTGGGAATCACACGGAGAAACCCAACTGCAGCTGACGAGATAAATAATGCTTCTTTAATTTCTGCCAACCCAATCTCTCCCCACCAGGTTATCCACCGTCTGCAGATGCCCTGTATTAATGATGAGCTTCACTGCACATCCTGGAATACTGGTAGCAGCTGCTTTGGAGACCCCACCAAGAAACGCAACCGGCTGGTCCTCCCAAGTTTCCAATCGTCACGGGTTTATATTGTGGACACCGGGACTGACCCCCAAGCTCCCTGCATGTTTAAAGTAGGCAACCCACCAAAAGGGTGCAAGCCAGGGAACTGGGTTGGAAACAGGGGTGGGTGGAAATTGCGAATGGGTCACCGAATCGGTAGGGACAGCAGGCTGGCCACGCCCCGGAACCGGTTCCCTGGTTGCTGTGGGTTTGTTTTTTTTACATTTTTAATGTTCTGCGCATGTGCAGACTTATTTACAGGCAACTGCACCTGCAAATCGCGTGCACAGCAAACCAGCAGTAACGCCGGCAGAAACCCACCCCTGGTTGGAAAGGGTTTCCATTTGCAGAGGTGGAACGAAGGAAAGCAGAATTACAATGCAAGAGTTTTTAATGTTTTTTTTTTCTCCCGCTCCCCAACCCCCCTGACAGGTGATTGATCCTAAGGAGATCTTCTGTAAAACCAACATGGCTACACTACGCACGGCACACTTTGTGCCCCCCGGAGACGTCGTCATTGCCTGTTTAGGGGACTTGTACGGCAATGGAAAAGGTATCCCTGGGCAGCTTTTTCTTCCCTTTCAGCCAAGACTTCCTGGGAGTCACCTCCATCTTTTTGAATTAATTTGCATTCTCCCTGCACACCCCAATCACAGGCGGATTTGTTGTTGTGGATGTGGAATCATGGGAAGTGAAAGGCACCTGGAACCCCCCCGGGGACGCGGCTCCATTTGGATTCGATTTCGCCTTCAAACCAAGGCATAACATCTTAGTCAGCACTGAAGCTGGAGCCCCCAAGTTCTTTTTGAATGGGTTCAACCCTGAAGATCTAAAGAAAGGTGAGATGCCAGAGAACTAAACGGACTTATGGCACATTGGAATTCAAAATCCAGGGGGCCTGCACTGCAACCTAGGGAGGGACCCCAGCCTCTTTGAGGAAAGTTGACGCTGAGGGGGTGTTGGGGGCCATCTCGCCAATCCTCGTGTCCATCCAAAGCTAGCACTTCCCCAAGAGGGGGCATCTCAGCTTCCACTTAGAGGCTTCCAACCAGTCTTCTAAGGAACGGCTTAGCAAAACCCTCCACGCCCTCCGGGGTACCTTCTAGCAGGAAGCATTGCTACTCACCAGAAGAAATTGAGCTGAATCTTCTCTTTTCCCCTGCAGGCCGCTACGGACGCCGCCTGAACTTATGGGACTGGACCACCCACTGTCTTGTCCAGTCTATTGACCTGGGGGAGGATTCTGCGCCCTTGAATGTCCGCTTCCTGCACAACCCAGATGCCCCACATGGCTTTGTGGGCTGCGCCTTGGATGGGGCTTTGCACCACATTTTCAGGAAGGAGGTAAAAACCAGTAGAATGTCTTTCTCCCCTCCTCTGCAGAGGAAGAACCGGCATCCTAGCCTTCAGCTTAAAATAAAATACAGAGTAAATGGGATAAAATGCAGCTGTAAAACAACCCAATATAATGCAGGTAGACCTCGCCTTATGACCAAAATTGGGAGCGGAATTTGCTAAGTGATAATGCTTGTTAAGTGAGTCACACCTGATTTTTACAAGTTTTTTTGCCATGGTCATTAAGTGAACCGCTTCATCATTAAGCAAATCTAGCTTCTCCCCACTGACTTTGTTTCTCAAAAGAAGTCTGGGAAGGTCACACATCATTTGATCCTGGGACACCGCAAGTACCGTAAATACATGCCTGTTGCCAAGTGCCGAGTTTTGACCGCATGGCCATGTGCACGTCACAGGGGTCATAATTCACTGTTTTCATAACCATCACAACATCAGTTGATGAATGAATGGTCGAAGTTCTACCTGCAATTCGTAAACTATTATCATGATATGGAAATCGTTACGAACAGGGACCTGAATGCAGAATTGCAAAATCAGGACACGACCCTGGGAGATTTTCAGGGGGAGGGGAATCACCCTAAGGGAGTCGGCCACCCTGCCCCATTAGTTGATTTTCTTTTTATGACGTAGGAACTACGTTAACTTCTACTGAGGGGGAAAGGAGGCTGAGACAGAATCTAGAGAGCACCAAGGACCCCATAGAAGAAGCTGAATTTTGAACTGAAATTCAAAAACTTCAGGGATATTTCAAACTTCTTTGAAAGACTTCAGAGGAGGAGGCGGGCACAATAGGAAGCGGAAGGGCTGGTGCAAATTTGTTCAGGTGGGAGAACTTTCCACGTCCCAACCAGCCTCCTGTGTCTCTTTTGCAGGATGGGTCGTGGGACACCGAGAAGGTTGTCCAGATTCCAAAGAAGTTGGTCACCGGGTGGTTCCAACCTGAAATGACATGTGAGTAAATGAAATTTAAGAGTGGAGGAGTGGCATTTGTCCTCACACGTATGTTTCCATCCTCTGCCTTTGTGTGCGCCGGAGTTTGCACCCTCAGATTTTTAGCATCTTAGGAGAACAGGTTGAGCGCCCTCAAGGCAGAGAGATCTGCATGTTTTGGGGGAGACACCGATTTGTGAAAACGCTGCGGAATTAAGCAACCCTCCCTTCTTCCTGACTTTATTCCTGGGCACCTTCTGTCCTCCAGCGTTCCTCGCAGACATCGTCATTTCGCTGGATGACCGTTTCCTGTACCTGAGCAACTGGTTTCATGGCGATGTCCGACAGTACGACATCACCGACCCCCACTGCCCTCGGCTGACGGGCCAGGTGAGCTCCCACCCACCCAAAAGCCCTGCAAGGATGCGGAAGGCTTAGGGTCCTTCCATAAGTTCCTCCTTCCACCATCAGAACCAGGACTTCGGGTTAAGCATGCCAGTTGAGCCTGATGTACTGGCATGTGCCGGTAGAACCTCCATAGATCCGCTTCCAAATACCACAGCCTGGGCAGAGGAAGGCTGTAGCTTGGGGAAGGGGAGACTCTCCTTCGGCCTGAGCTGACCCTTCCTTTGACTCCTGCAGGTGTTCGTCGGAGGCAGCATCTCCCAAGGCAGTGGGGTGACTGTGGTGAAGGATGAAGAGCTGGACTGCCAACCCGATCCCTTCATGCTCCAGGTGAGGCGCTCTCTCCTCAGAAGGATTCTGTGTTTGAGGCACTTATAGGAAACATGGGGGACATAATTGTCAATGGACAAGCGTGGCTTCTTTCTTCTCGGCGGGACAACTTGAAATGCTGCAAAAGTCTTTCCTGAGGCAGGTTAGAACCAAGGAGCCACATGTCCCCCTCCATGGACCTCCTACGTTTCTGGACCACTCACTTTTTTTCCCACTTTAGGGAAGGAGAGTCTATGGAGGACCTCAAAGGCTTCAGCTCAGCTTGGATGGGAAAAGGCTTTATGTCACCAACTGTCTCTGCACGCCATGGGACAAGCAATATTATCCACAAATGGTCAGGTACGAAGTCTTTGGTCCGAACAGTCATACCAAATTTGCAAATTTGGAGGAGGGGAGGTGCTCTCCTCCTCCTCCTCCTCTTCGTACTACATGAAATCCTTACTTTCCATTACTTTGTCATGGTTTCTCCCTTTATCCTGGAATTTTCACAAATCTTTCTCGTTTCTGGAGTCCCCCAATCAGCTTTTCTTACTTTGTGGAGGCCCAAGTAAGCGAGCCAAAGGCCTTCCTTTCCACCCCTAAACTCTTCTTCCTTTGCAGGGAAGGGTCGGTCATGCTCCAGATCAACGTGGACACGGAGAACGGGGGTCTCTGCGTGAATCCGGACTTCCTGGTGGATTTTGGGAAGGAGCCGTGTGGTCCCTCTCGTGCATACGAAATGCGCTACCCGGGAGGAGACTCTACATCGGACATCTGGGTCTGAGAAGTTGCTATGCTATGCTAGTGTTTAGGGGGCAGGGAAGCAACTCTGGAAAGATCTTGTAACGTAGCGTAGATTTCCGCATTTCAGGCCAATGCAACCAGAGAAATTAAAGATTACAATAAATCACTTTCTTGGCAATACAGATTCTTGAGGATAATCTTTATTTCGAGTGAGGTCCCCAGTTGACCAATGTCTCTGTGTCTCTCATGAAGTTTATTTGGACCAACCCCCTTTTCCCTGGGCTGAGAGAGAAGGGCCGCTCAAATTCCCTCACCCAAAACAGGATTAAAATTCATAGCAATAGCAATAGCAGTTAGACTTATATACCGCTTCATAGGGCTTCCAGCCCTCTCTAAGCGGTTTACAGAGTCAGCATATCCGCCCCCACAGTCTGGGTCCTCATTTCACCCACCTCGGAAGGATGGAAGGCTGAGTCAACCTTGAGCCGGTGAGATTAGAACCGCTGAACTGCAACAGTCATCTGAAGTAGCCTGCAGTGCTGCACTCTAACCACTACGCCACCTCGGCTCTCTCAATTCATGCTCTGTGTCTAATCCAGCACTTTTAGCCATTATACCAAACTGGCTCTCTATCCATAAGTTAGACCATAATTAATGTTAAGTCTCAGATTAACCATCACCATGATGGAGGCGGAATAGTTGAATAAATCAATCAAAGAGTGGACAAAATCTTTTCTCCTATT